TTTTTGTGGTATTATGTGGATTGCACATGCTTGGTAATGTATTTCTATATTTTTTGCTTTAAGTTCCATCTTGTCTCCTACATATGTCATCAGTTGGGGACCCCCTCCTCCCCCAGCACCAACTTGACGCTCTGGGCCAGAGTGAAGAGAGGGGGGCAGGGGACAGTTCCATTGTCTCCTGCATATGTCATCAGTTGGGGACCTCCCCAGCACAACTGCTGCTCTGGCCAGAGTGAAGAGAGGGGCCAGGGGACAGTTCCACCTTGTCTCCTGCATATGTCATCAGTTGGGGACCCTCCCCCCACCAACTGCTCTGGGCCAGAGTGAAGAGAGAGGGGGCCAGGGACAGTTCCATCTTGTCTCCTGCATAGGTCATCAGTTGGGGACCCCTCCCCGAGTATATCAGTGATTGGTTGGGGGAGGGGGGGGGAGGGGGGGGGGGATGAGGGTTGTCATCAGTCGGGGACCCCTTCCATGAAGCACAGCTGAACTCCTCGCATGAGAAGCTGGGGCCAGAAGACAGTTCCATCTTGTCTCCTGCCTATGTCACCAGCTGGGGACCCCTCCCCCTAGCACCAACTGCTGCTCTGGGCCAGAGTGAAGAGAGAGGGGGCCAGGGGACAGTTCCATCTTGTCTCCTGCATATGTCATCAGTTGGGGACCCCTCCCCTCAGCACCAACCACTGCTCTGGGCCAGAGTGAAGAGAGAGGGGGCCAGGGGACAGTTCCATTTTGTCTCCTGCATATGTCATCAGTTGGGGACCCCTCCCCTCAGCACCAACTGCTCTGGGCCAGAGTGAAGGGAGAGGGGGCCAGGGGACAGTTCCATTCTTGTCTCCTGCATATGTCATCAGTTGGGGACCCCTCCCCCAGCAACCAGCCGCTCTGGGCCAGAGTGAAGAGAGAGGGGGCCAGGGGACAGTTCCATCTTCTCCTGCATATGTCATCAGTTAGGGACCCCTCCCCCCACCAACCACTGCTCTGGGCCAGAGTTGTGAAGAGAGAGGGGGCCAGGGGACAGTTCCATCTTGTCTCCTGCATATGTCATCAATTGGGGACCCCTCCCCCCAGCACCAACTGCTGCTCTGGGCCAGAGTGAAGAGAGAGGGGGCCAGGGGACAGTTCCATCTTGTCTCCTGCAATGTCATCAGTTGGGGACCCCTCCCCCCAGCACCAACTGCTGCTCTGGGCCAGAGTGAAGAGAGAGGGGCCAGGGGACAGTTCCATCTTGTCTCCTGCATATGTCATCAGTCAGGGACCCCTCCCTCCAGCACCAACTGCTGCTCTGTGCCAGAGTGAAGAGAGGGGGAGCCAGGGGACAGTTCCATCTTGTCTCCTGCAAATGTCATCAGTGGGACCCCTCCCCCAGCACCAACTGCCGCTCTGGGCCAGAGTGAAGAGAGAGAGGGGACCAGGGACAGTTCCCCTTGTCTCCTGCATATGTCATCAGTTGGGGACCCCTCCCCCAGCAAACCGCCGCTCTGGGCCAGAGTGAAGAGAGAGGGGACCTGGGGACAGTTCCACCTTGTCTCCTGCATATGTCATCAGTCGGGGACCCCTCCCCTCAGCACCAACCGCTGCTCTAGGCCAGAGTGAAGAGAGAGGGGGCCAGGGGACAGTTCCACCTTATCTCTTGCATATGTCATCAGTCGGGGATCCCTTCCCCTAGCACCAACTGTCGCTCTGGGCCAAAGTGAAGGGAGAGGGGGCCGGGTGACAGTTCCATCTTGTCTCCTGGATATGTCATCATTCGGGGACCCCTTCCCTCAGCACCAACTGCTGCTCTGGGCCAGAGTGAAGAGAGAGGGAGACAGGGGACAGTTCTATCTTGTCTCCTCTGCTATGCTAATAATATAATATATATTGTACTAGCGGTCCCCTGCCACGTGTTGCTGTGGTCTAGTCTGGTGATCTGGAAAATAAAGTAATGAGAAATCTATGTAATGTCTTTCTGCTTGGGGGTAAACAATATTACTTGCTGTTTCTTTGTCAGTGTTGATGTGGAGATTGTCTGGTTTGCATACTCCAGAACATGCAACATGTCCTTCTTTAGGGGCCCCTTTCAAATCTTTGATACTGCATCTGTCATATACATATATGTGATTATGTGAATGGCTGAATGGCCCTTTGTCAGGAGGGCATTGATTATGTTTTCTTGCCCTAGTTAAGGGAGTTGGACTCGGTGGCCTTAAGGCAGAATTTCTCAACCTGGGAAGTCAACACCCCAGGGAGGAGGTCACCAGGGGGGTCTCAGTAGGGTCAACAAAGACCGCCAGAAAACACCGTATTTTCTGTTGGTCATTAGGGTTCTGTGTGGTATGTTTGGCCTAATTCCATCATTGTTGGGATTCGGAATGCTCCTTCATTGTAGGTGAACTATAAATCCCAGTAACTACAACTTCCAAATGTCAAGGTCTATTTCCCCCAAACTCCATCTGTGTTTATATTTGGGCATATTGAGTATTCATGCCAAGTTTGGCCCAGATCCATCACTGTTTGAGTCCACAGTGCTCTCTAGATGTAGGTGAACTACAACTCCCAAACTCAAGGTCAATGCCCACCAAACCCTTCCAGTGTTTTCTCTTGGTCAAGGAAGTTCTGTGTGCCAAGCTTGGTTCAATTCCATCGTTGATGGAGTTCGGAATGCTCTTTGATTGTAGGTGAACTATAAATCCCAGCAACTACAACTCCCAAATGACAAAATCATAATTTTTTGAGTGATGGACACTCCTTGTGTTGTGAGACATTTTGTTGCCAAATTTGGTGTGATTCCGTTCGTTGGTTCTTTTGTTTTTAAGGTACTCATTATACACAGAGCATTTTTTTATATATAGATTGTATAGACATATAATATTTATATTATAGTGTAATACAATATAATACTACTAATAATATGATATTAGTAATATATATATTTATATTACATGTAATATTACTAATAATATTTCAATATAATGGTATAGTACAATATAGTAATATTTAATACTGATATTGTACTATGCTAATAATATAATATATTGTGTGTGTGTGTGTGTGTGTGTGTGTGCGTGTATAGGAGCCCCCGGTGGCGCAGTGGGTTAAAGCACTGAGCTGCTGAGCTTGTTGATCGAAAGGTCGCAGGTTCGATTCCGGGGAGCGGCGTGAGCTTCCGCTGTCAGCCCTAGCTTCTGCCAACCTAGCAGTTCGAAAACATGCAAATGTGAGTAGATCAGTAGGTACCACTCCGGCGGGAAGGTAACGGCGCTCCATGCAGTCATGCTGGCCACATGACCTTGGAGGTGTCTACGGACAACGCTGGCTCTTCGGCTTAGAAATGAGATGAGCACCACACCCCAGAGTCAGACATGACTGGACTTATGTCAGGGGACTACCTTTACCTTTTTAAGACCTATATATATAATATATTATATGTGTGTGTGTGTGTGTGTGTGTGTGTGTGTATGTGTATGTGTGTGTGTGTGTGTGTGTGTGTGTGTGCGTGTGTGTGTGTGTGTGTGTGTGTATATATATATATATATATATATATTGTGTTGAGACTCAGCGTCCTGGCACCGTATCTACTCTGTTGCATTAAGAGACTATTTTGAGTTAGTGTTTGCTATACGCTTCTGTTTACTTCTGTTTCCTTTTCGGCTGAGCTCAAGCCTGGAAGATCCGGATTACTGACTGTTTGTTTACCTGCCTGAAGGTTCCTTTGAGTTGCTAATTTTCACTGCTGTTAAGTGCCTCTTTTGTTGTACCTCATTAAAGACTATTATTAGCATTTCAATTGCTGTGAAAGACATTATCTGTGCTCTAAGTCTCAACATATTGTGTGTGTGTGTGTATGTATATATATAGTAAGCTGCTCTGAGTCCCCTTCGGGGTGAGAAGGCCAGCATAGAAATGTCACAAATAAATAAATAAATATTTGTTGGAAAGATTGCAGCTAAGCTTGGGGGGCAACACTAGGAAGGAATCAAGACACAATTGTCCCTAATAATAATAATAATAATAACAACAATGATGATGATGTCCTATCACTCTGACCCTCCAAGTACTGACTCACCCCTGGCTCTCACCTTCGTCTGAAAAGTAGGAACGGAGCAGATGATTCTGGGTGTCGGGAGTCAGAGATAATATATTCATAGCAGCTGCATCAGTGACAGCACCGCCGAATCCCTTTATCGTTTGATACCGTTGGGCTGTCTCCAGAACCAGAACCAGAGCTGAGAGGCAAAGGTTTGCACGTGAATTTTCATGCAGTTGAGTCATTGATCAAGTGTTTACATTCATTCGACCCACCCAAATAAATAAGTGGCAGGGGTACCTGGGGTGGATGTTTTGTCCTGGAACTTCCCTTCGCTGCGCTCCATCCGCTGGCCGGATTTGCTGCTCTCGTACTTGACAAAGAAGCCGGGCGAAGGGAGGGAGACGGGGTCCTGGGTGTCACAATAGGTGCGGTCGCAAACGCACACCATGGAGTCTTGGTCAAAGTACTTCTTGTTGCAGGGTTGGCTCCCTTTTGGGGACAAGAGCAAGCAACCGTGTGTTTTCTGCGCACTGGGCCACACTCCCTCCCACCCTAAAATGTTCATCTGCCCCAACATCTCAAAGGTGTCCATGCCTTACTCACCCATCACTTCAACGGCTGTCTGTAACAAGAGCAGCAAACGCCACAGACTGGCTCTCCGGAGTCCCATTGTCCCAACAGCGCCCGGGTTGCACCAGCAAGGACAGTAACTCAGGCCCACAACTGGCAATTCACATCTCTAAGAAAGGGGGGGAAACGTCGTGTCAGAATTGACTCTTTGTCCAGGCTATGTCAACGTGAGCGGAGGCTGGATGGCCATCTGTCGGGGGGTGCTTTGATTGTGTGCATGGCAGAATGGGTTCGCATTAAATGGCCCTTGGGGTCAACTCCACATCTAATATTGTATGAAGCTGCATGGCCATGGTAATAATGATGATGATTTACTTATTTACTAGCCGTCCCCTGCTACGCATTGCTGTGGCCCAAATGACTGTTCTGTGTGGGAGTTTTGGCCCAATTCTATTGTTGATGAGTTCAGAAATCTCTGTGATTGTATGTGAACTACAAATCCCAGGAACGACAACTCCCAAATGTCAAGATTCTATTTTTCTCAAACTCACATTTGGGCATATTGAGTATTCGTGTAGAGTTTGGTCCAGATCCATCATTGTTTGAGTCCACAGTGCTTTCTGGTAGGGCTGGGCGGTTTCGTTCGTTAATTTCGTAATTCGTTATTAATTCGTATTTAAATTAGCTTACGATCCGATATCGAGCCATGCAGGAGCAATTAAAAATCGAAACAAATTTTTCAATTTATTTCGTAATTGTTTCGTAATTGTTTCGTAATTGTTTCGAAATTGTTTCGAAATTGTTTCGTAATTATTTTCGCATGTCTGGTGCAAGTTTTATAGTTTTTGTTTGTTTTATCACACCAACAGTCAACAACAGAGGGAGAGGGAAGCTTCAGAAGTTCCCCCTGTCCCATTTGGAGGGTTTTTTTGCATATTGCGCAATTGCGTCCGCCATTAACGAATCGATTCGTAATTGTTTCGTAATTTACGAAATTTCGTATATTTTGAACTTTTTTTAAAAAAAATTCAGAATTCTTTTAAAAAACGAAACGCAAAAACCCCCTAAAAACGAATCGAGTTTAGAAACAAATTTTTCCGTGGTTACCCAGCCCTACTTTCTGGATGTAGGTGAACTACAACTCCAAAACCAAAGGACACTGCCCACCAAGCCTTTCCAGTATTTTCTGTTGGTCATGGGAGAACTGTGTGCCAAGCTTGGTTCAATTCCATCGTTGGTGGGGTTCAGTATGCTCTTTGATTGTACATAAATGACGAATCCCAGAAACTACAACTCCCAAATGACAAAATCTTTTTTTTTTTTTGAGTGAAGGACATACATTGGGTTGTTAGGTGTCTTGTGTCCAAATTTGGTGTCAATTCGTCCGGTGGTTTTTGAGTTCTGTGAATACCACAAACGAACATTACATTTTTATTTATATAGATTTATTTACTCTACTTGTATACCGCCTTTCTCAGCCAATCGGCGACTCAAGGCAGTTTCCAACAAAACAGTACACACAAGATCATAAAACATTAAAACAGTATAAAACAACAACAATAATAATAACAACAACATTAGCGTCTCCCTATTATCAAGCATTGTCCAGTTCCAACGTCAAGACATTAAATTTCCTATGTTGTTTACTCTGCATTTGTGAATGCTTGCTCAAACAACCATGTTTTAACTTGCCTCCGAAATGTTAGTAGGGAGGGAGCCAATCTGATCTCCTTAGGGAGGGCGTTCCATAGCCGAGGGTCACCACTGAGAAGGACCCGTCTCTCGTCCCCACCAGATGTACTTGTGTCGAAGGCGGGACCGAGAGCAGGGCCTCCCCAGATGATCTCAGGGTCCTCGATGGTTCGTAAGAGGAGATACGTTCGGACAGGTAAGTTGGGCCAGAACCGTCTTACAAAGTCCCAAAAGAAACACCAGTCTTCCATCAGACAACGGGCAATGAACTAAGTTCTAAGCAGCAGACACAAAGCAGATTCCATTGGAGTGAAAACATCAGTATCAGGGTCGTTGTTACCAGCGAAAGCTGACTGCTCCTGCTTCTGATTTCCCATGCAGGAGGTGCTAGGGAGTCTCCCAATTAGCTCAGCGTTTTTAGCAGCTATTCTGGCTGAATGCTGTCTGTGCTCTGTCTCCTTTTGTCTCTCTAGAAATGTGGGCACTTGCAAACCCTCATTGTCTATTTCTTCTTCCTCCTCCAATTCCTGAGCACTTCCCTGCTTCTCTTCCGAAGATGAAGAAACCCCAACACCCATCCATCAAGAGGGCTTTGATGGTTCTCTCTTCCTGGCAGAATGGGGAAGGACTGGATGGTTCTTGGGATCCCAACTCTAGGATTCTACAAAAATAATAACCTTTCATGATGATGGTGGTGGAATCTCCTTCTCCTTCTGATGATGATTCTTGAGGAAGAAGCGGGATGGCTATCTGTCTGGAGGGCTTTTATGGTGCCTCCCTTCATGGGATAATGGAGCAGGACTGGATGGCCCTTGGGGTATCTTCCAACTCTAGGATTCTACAATAATAATAACCTTTCATAATGATGATGACGGAATCTATTTCTCTAGAGGCTTTGAGGAAGAGGTGGGATGGTGATCTGTCAGGAGGGCTTTGATGGTGCCTCCCTTTGTGGCATAATGGGGTGGGACTGGATGGCCCTTGGGGTCCCTTCCAACTGCAGAAGTCTACAATAATAATAACCTTTCATAATGATGGTGATGGAATCTATTTCTATAGAGGCTTTGAAGCAGAGGTTGGATGGCTATCTATCAAGAGGGCTTTGATGGTGTCTCCCTTTGTGGCATAATGGGGTGGGACTGGATAGCCCAACTCTAGGATATTATGATGAGGGAGGATGCCCTCTGAGAAAACCCAGACTTAGAACAATTACTTCTTTCCAATACAGGAACCCATCTCAGCCAAACTGTTTCCGACTTACAGTGACATTCCCAACCCAAAAGAATCCGGCCTCTTAGGGCACAATTGGGACGAGATTTGAACACAGGACACCTGGTGTCATGATCTGCTCATTCTGCCAATGTTTGCTCACCTTTCACAAGCCTTTTGGAGCTGCTTTCCTGGCGTTTGGCGCATCCGTTTGCCACCGCCGGCTCAGCAGAGTCGGCGCTCCCGCCTTAAGGCACACCTGCCTTCGAAGGAAGCGCATTCTTAGTCTAATTCACTTGCTTCCCTGGGTCAAGCGGCATTCCCGCCTACACCTGAATCCAATTATGGGAATACCTGACACCTTTCTGCTGGCAAGACGCACCTGTCACTTGCCGTAGCGAGGCATAATGCTAAGCCAACCTCCCACGGGCTGCGGTGGTTCTGAGCATGTGCAGAATGTAGCCTGGGAATTGTTGTATGGTAGTTCGGGGGGCCCTTGTCTATGCTTCCAAAGTCCCCTTGTAAAGGACCATCTATATATATAAAAATGCTCTGTGCATAATGAGTACCTCAAAAACAAAAGAACCAATGAATGAAATCACACCAAATTTGGCAACAAAACGTCTCACGACACAAGGAGTGAGCATCACTCAAAAATTATGATTTTGTCATTAGGGAGTTGTAGTTGCTGGGATTTATAGTTCACCTACAATCAAAGAGCATTCTGGACTCCACCAACGATGGAGTTGAACCAAACGTGGCACAGAGGACTCCCATGAGCAACAGAAAACACTAGAAGGGTTTGGTGGGCATTGACCTTGAGTTTTGGAGCTGTAGTTCACCAACATCCAGAGAAATAGATAGAGAGTTGTAGTTGCTGGGATTTATAGTTCACCTACAATCAAATAGCATGATAGAATTGAACCAAATGGGGCATACAGGACGCCCATGACCAACAGAAAACACTAGAAGAGTTTGGTGAGCACTGACCTTGAATTTGGGAGATGTAGTTCACCCACATCCAGAGACCACCATGGACTCAAACAATGATGGATCTGAACCAAACTCGGCATGAATAATCCATATGCCCAAATATGAACATGGATGGAGTTTGGGGGAAAGAGACCTTGACATTTGGGAGTTGTAGTTACTGGGATTTATAGTTCACCTACAAT